ATGTTACAGTAAACCACTGTACTGAAATGTATCAAAATAAGGTAACAGGAAGCCTTGTGCAATTCACCACAGTTTGAATTATGAAAGTATGAGTCATTTTGGCGCACGTTCATTTTTCGTGTAGGCCAACTTTTGGAAAGGCCAATTGAGTTTTGAAAAGAAGGGTTTGAGCATAGTACCATCTAAAAGAAAAAACTATAAATTTTAAACTCAAACATTTTAAAATTGTTTAGAAGAAAAGGGGAACGGACGGTCAATACAGGTGGCTAAACAATCCAAAAAAATCGACCAGAAAACTAATATTCGATGACAACAACGTGATACTTCAAGCTATTCCGGTTTCAATTTCCTGCGTTTACATTAATTTTGACGGGCTAAAAGCAACCGAAGTGAAATGCATAAAAATGAGCTTTAAAACAGGTCAAATCAGGATAAAGCATGGTAGATGTCACTCAACATTGATAAGGTCCTGTTAACAAACACACATGCTCGCCACTTTCCAGATTCGTTGAAATTTCAGCCGTCTACCTATCGTATGTGAATGCCCGAAAATATTGGGTTGCACTTTTCAGTGGAAACCTTCATGTTTTTTTGAGAAATCGTGTGGACATGGACATAGAACGTCTTTTACTACATTTTTCGTTTTGGGGCCATTGATTTTTTGCGGAAATGCATCAATAATTGCACCTTAAATTTGTAAGCCACAAACTCAAAAAAGACGCAGAAAATAAACAGTTTTTGGGTCTAAATATTTCAGACTCCAAAACTATTCTAATCAAAGCGAAACAGTAATGAGAAATTTGGCCTTTCGTCTGACCAACTCTCCTCATTTCACGCTCTCTCTCTGAAGGCGAAGACCGCAGAGTATGTCGCGAACTGGGGTCACAACTCTCATCGATTCATATTAGTCGCGCCATGAAGTCCCTAGAATTTTTTCGCCGGCCTTCTTCTCGATACAGTATCCTTTTTCTCCACTTGAATCCTTAGTAACCACAATTTTGACCTAAGATTTCTTGCGTAAGTAAACCGCGAATTTCTAATCTTGAGTATCATACAAGATGCATTAAAACCACTCGAAATCCATTGTAGTTTTGAGTACATGTACCAGATCATTAAATGCAAAACCTGCTCTCACTCCGACAAAGTTTGTAGTATGTATAGTCAACAATTCCTTTTGAGAAACGCAGTAGGCAACAACACTAATAAAGCCGAACGTCTCACGCCCCAGACGTTCGAGTTTTCAATTCGTAAAATTTAGAAATATAAATACAATGCATATCGTACTGACCGTAAACTATAAATTTTGAAGTTTTGTGTGGACAAAAATTGTACCAAGATACGATATTTTTGCAAAGAATTAGAAGTTGGTTGAAGAGGTAGTTGGAAATGAGTAATGTATTTGGAACTCAAAGAACGTTATTCCTACAACCGGGTTTTGCATAAATTTAGGAACAAAGACATTGAATAAAATCCCAAAGCGGGTTCAAAAATGCTATTTACAGTCGCATTTTACCAAATTTAAATAGCTTGTCGATATAGACTAGAACCAATTCAAGTTTGTTGAGGCTACTAGTCACAACCATGGGGGATTTGTGTTTTGCGGCGTGGCAGAAAACATTGCTCAAGACACAACTTTTTAGCCATCATTTTGAAGTCTGCGATCTTTCCTACATCTTGAACTACAATTCTTTAGCCAGTGATTCATGTTCTACTTATACCGGTAATTGGCCTACAAAAATCTATGTCCAATGAAAAATCAGCGGAGGCGCCGCAACTAAATATCCGAATTTCAAAAGTCCTTCAGATATTTGACTTTAGGAACTGTTAAATTTGACCCGATTTCATTGCTCCTTTCTGGAAAACTGCAAACAAATCCTGAAAAGAAGTAATTATTGTTCCTAAAAAACTTCTTTTACTAAACTTTGTTTGTCTTCGAGGAACAAGCTGATGCTCAAGTGTGTAGTATTTTTGCGGTAACAGAAATATCTTAAAAGGGCATAACAACAACTTTACAGGGTGGGCATTTTTTTGGCTAAATTGGCTATAATTTTTTTAGTTTGTGGCAAAATCTTAAAACTCTTTTTTCCCTGAATCTTCAGACGTCCCCATCTTGTTTAGTACCAAATATGTTTTACCCATTTATAAGGTTGCAGCTGACTACAAACAAAAAGCTCTAATTTTGATGCTTTAACAAGGGAAGTACCCCTTGTGCGGCGCTCAGATTTTCTTCAAATTTTGCACACGTGTTGGACACAGGCCTCATATCAATCCGTGAAAGTATTAGGTCGCGCCTTTCAGGGGCGGCCCAGATATTCAACGATCTTTGCATATATATAAATATTTGGTATTAAACAAAATGCAGACGTCTGAGGATTTAGGGGAAAAAATAATTTTAAGATTTAGCCAAAAACTAAAAAAGTTATAGCCAATTTAAATCGGGCACAAAGATACCCCACCTTGTACTTGAAAAAAGCCGTATCCGTATTGAAAATAAATTGTGGAAAGGAATGTATGTAGCGAAGCCAAGAAGCGAAAATGGAAACTCAAGAAAAAGTCGGAAGTAAGAAGCGATGATTGAAGATGGGAGCAGCGACTACAGGATTGGGTGCCCCAGGATGTGGACTGACAATATCCAAAAGCATTCTGGCCCGCGCTGGATAGAATTTTCACTGACCGGACAACGCAAACTGTACCGATTCATGGCTTTTTTACGTGATTATTAAGAGTAATTTAAAATTAAATCGACGACAAATCGTAAAATTTTTTTAATTCTTCTGCATAAATCTCTATGCAATAAATCGGTAATCATATGGTCCAGTAAACCCAACTTCGACCCAAATTCCCTAAGGTTATTAAACTATTTTGGTAAAAGTTCAAGACTAAACGTTTCAGCGAGCAAAAAGAAACCTCGTTTTCAAGTAGTTCCGACAAAGAAAATTTGACGTAAACTACTCACTCTTGTTACTCCTGGTCTGTAATTAGAAGCCTTTTTGTTCCCTACAGTTCAACACTCAAAGAGCACTAAGGGGTTCGGACTTTTGAAAACGACTTCTCTAAGGGGTTGGGAAGAAATTAAAAATTCTGGAGAGGAAATTTTAATCATTTTGCCATTGTACGAAAAATTTTAGAAATCCCAAAGAAACGAAAAAATGTACCCCGTATTTTAATTTATAGAAATCCAAAGACTGCAGGCAATGGTACGATAAGGCAACTGTTGATTTCAGCACTAGTTTTATTCGTCCCCACGGAAACAATTAGTTAATCGGCTTCCAGCTTCCTTCGGCGGAGAGCCAATGGCCTTGACGATTTAGTCGGCCGAATCTTGGCATAAACTTATCCGGACTCTTCTTTTTTCCAAGACGCTTTGGCTAGGCGGACTGTAATAGGCTACGCCAAGATTTTAATATTAAAAATAATTCAAGACCCCTCTTCCTTCCCAGCTGTGGCGCAATGTTTGACCAGATCTACCTCTGTCTTGTTGTTCCGCGAAAAAACAAATAAACATGGGTTTGGGAATTTTCCGAAAATTTTGTTTCGTTGCCAGTCTCTCTTTCTCGCTGCTTACTGAGTACATTCGCATTCCCTTCCCTCAATCCTTATAGTCCAACTCCAATATTTGTACTTTCCTCCATCTAAAAAGTCGGCCTCAATGCTCCCTCCTTTATCTTTTCCTTTGCTTAATGGACTCGGTTTGTTTGCTGAAACTGTGATTTGATCGCTCCGCATCAAAAACCATGTACTTGACGTATTGTTGGGAACAATAAGCTGTATTGATAAGAGGCTCCGACACTTCAACATCAGGCCAAAAAAAAATTTCTCGAAGAAAAAATTGCAGATATTTCTCAATTGAGAACATCTACAGCTGCAGATAGTAATACCCACCGACTAATACAAAAAAGCAAAATTATGGGTGTGTGCACGTAATCAAAGCTCGGTTATTAGGTCTAGACATCGTTCGGGTTTTCATCTAATTTTGTCGTTATTTGGCAACCCAGTCAGGTATGGTATGTGTAAAAGTGCGTATTGAAAAATTTTGACCTTGCTCAAATGGCATAAATTTGAGCCGGCCCCGGAATTTAACGACATGCCAAAAAACTTGGGTTGGGCTTAGGCTTAGGCTTGATATAATATAAGAAGGATTCGCTACCGAGACCACGTCGCAAGTCGATCATTTCGCTACTTTTTGAAATTGGTAGCGAATCCAGCAAACATTCTCGAGCTCGAGAAAAAATTCTTATTTCTTCGTTCTTATATATAGATTGAGGTTTGAAAATTGTTTTTTAAGCCTATTGAAGCCAATGTCTTATGTAAGTCTGGTATGAACGACCTAGCAAAGCTTTTTTGTAAGAAAAGAATCTGCGCGTTTAGCGTCGAAAAGAGAGCCAGCTTTATTATCAGTCTGTTGGGAAAAGCAATGAGGCGCGCTTCCCATACGCGTCTCACCCGAAAACTGGTACTAAGCATTATCTGATCTGCCGTCAGAGGTAAGTCGGGTAAAATACTGCGTAGATTTCACTGCCAAAATTTCCCGGCACTCCGGCGTTTTTTTGGAAGCTATAGTGATGTGCCAGTTATTTTCTGAGTTAAGAAGCCTTGCAGGGCTTGATCCGCTCTGGCCAAACAGTCTAAAGCAAATGTGATCCAGCAAAGTCCAAATTTAGTCGGAATGCACCAGAGACACAAAAAATGATGGCCGATTTCTGGAAATTGCTTTTAGTTATGCATCTATCACTTACAAATCTTAGACCTTTGTTTAATCATTACTGGTGCAGGTTTTAAACAGTACGATTAACTCAGGATTTTGTTGTCTTTCTCTAGTTCTTAAAAATTTAGCAGAGTTGTTAGTTACTGAGTTTCGACTAACAATAAGCTTGACTTTTGCGCTATATGCAGGCTTGATTGATAATCCAAGCGGTTTCTTATAAATAACGTAAGGTTTCGGGCATAGACCTAAGGCTAAGTAAGAAACTGGCTTGGCTTAGCACTTTTGCGCATTTAGCTTAGGCTAAGCCTAATTCTCTGCTCAGGATAAGTCTGATTCTTAGCCTAAGCGTATGCTTAGGCTTAGGCTTAGGCTTAGGCTTAGGCTTAGGCTTAGGCTTAGGCTTAGGCTTAGGCTTAGGCTTAGGCTTAGGCTTAGGCTTAGGCTTAGGCTTAGGCTTAGGCTTAGGCTTAGGCTTAGGCTTAGGCTTAGGCTTAGGCTTAGGCTTAGGCTTAGGCTTAGGCTTAGGCTTAGGCTTAGGCTTAGGCTTAGGCTTAGGCTTAGGCTTAGGCTTAGGCTTAGGCTTAGGCTTAGGCTTAGGCTTAGGCTTAGGCTTAGGCTTAGGCTTAGGCTTAGGCTTAGGCTTAGGCTTAGGCTTAGGCTTAGGCTTAGGCTTAGGCTTAGGCTTAGGCTTAGGCTTAGGCTTAGGCTTAGGCTTAGGCTTAGGCTTAGGCTTAGGCTTAGGCTTAGGCTTAGGCTTAGGCTTAGGCTTAGGCTTAGGCTTAGGCTTAGGCTTAGGCTTAGGCTTAGGCTTAGGCTTAGGCTTAGGCTTAGGCTTAGGCTTAGGCTTAGGCTTAGGCTTAGGCTTAGGCTTAGGCTTAGGCTTAGGCTTAGGCTTAGGCTTAGGCTTAGGCTTAGGCTTAGGCTTAGGCTTAGGCTTAGGCTTAGGCTTAGGCTTAGGCTTAGGCTTAGGCTTAGGCTTAGGCTTAGGCTTAGGCTTAGGCTTAGGCTTAGGCTTAGGCTTAGGCTTAGGCTTAGGCTTAGGCTTAGGCTTAGGCTTAGGCTTAGGCTTAGGCTTAGGCTTAGGCTTAGGCTTAGGCTTAGGCTTAGGCTTAGGCTTAGGCTTAGGCTTAGGCTTAGGCTTAGGCTTAGGCTTAGGCTTAGGCTTAGGCTTAGGCTTAGGCTTAGCTTAGGCTTAGGCTTAGGCTTAGGCTTAGGCTTAGGCTTAGGCTTAGGCTTAGGCTTAGGCTTAGGCTTGGAGCTAGGCTTAGGCTTAGGCTTAGGCTTAGGCTTAGGCTTAGGCTTAGGCTTAGGCTTAGGCTTAGGCTTAGGCTTAGGCTTGGGCTTAGGCTTAGGCTTGGGCTTGGGCTTAGGCTTAGGCTTAGGCTTAGGCTTAGGCTTAGGCTTAGGCTTAGGCTTAGGCTTAGGCTTAGGCTTAGGCTTAGGCTTAGGCTTAGGCTTAGGCTTGAGGCTTGAGGCTTAGGCTTAGGCTTAGGCTTAGGCTTAGGCTTAGGCTTAGGCTTAGGCTTAGGCTTAGGCTTAGGCTTAGGCTTAGGCTTAGGCTTAGGCTTAGGCTTAGGCTTAGGCTTAGGCTTAGGCTTAGGCTTAGGCTTAGGCTTAGGCTTAGGCTTAGGCTTAGGC